AAAAAGCGGCTACTTTATGTTGCCACGGATGACACGATGACGCGGGGATGACGGTGTCGGTATGAGTTGGCTTTCGATAAATTTGGATAACATGTGACGATTCTTTTCTTGTTATTGTTAAGTCGAGAAAATTAAGGGAACAATCTTGTTCCAATTCAAGTTTAAATTTAATTTTGTCATGGACTCTATTTATTTTTTTTTTTTTATAGGAGAGGGGGCAAACGAGCATGCGGCTCACCTGATGGTAAGTGACTACCGCCGCCCATGAACAACTGCAACACCAGGGGAATCGCAGATGCGTTGCCGGCCTTTTAAAAAGGAGTACGCTCTTTTCTTGAAGGTCCCTAAGTCGTATCGGTCCGGAAAAATCGCTGATGGTAATCGATTCCACAAGGAGGTCGTGCGAGGAAGAAAACATCTTCTAAATCGCACAGTGGTGGACCGCCAATCATCCAGATGGTGTGGATGGTATCGGGATTTCTGCCGCGATGTGCGTTCGTGAAATTTGGCGGCTGGGATTAATCCGAACAATTCCTCAGAGCACTCCCCATGGTAGATGCGAAAGAAAATGCAAAGGGATGCAACATCTCTTCGCAGTGCCAATGAATCGACTCGACTTCAGACACAAGTTTGTTCCGGTACTCAGCGACGTTTTCCCGAGAAATATTGCCACGGCCGGTGTATAGAGCATCACCAGTGCTGTCATCCGCATAGCAATGAATGTTACCAGTTAGCAACATATCATTGATATGCAGAAGAAACAGCGTTGGTGATAGCACACAGCCTTGTGGAACACCAGCGTTAATAGGCTTGTAGTCAGAGCATGCACCGTCTACAACGACCTTGATGCTCCGATCTGCAAGGAAGCTGGTGATCCAATTGCACAATTTCTCGGGAAGCCCATAGGAAGGGAGCTTCGAAAGAAGCGCTTTGTGCCAAACCCGATCGAAGGCCTTCGCAATGTCCAGACTAACGGCCAACGCCTCCCCCTTGGACTCTACTGCCTCCGCCCATCTATGGGTCAGGTAGACCAGAAGATCACCAGCTGATCGACCCCGTTATTGAGGAAAACATCCAGTTGTGCCAGTCCAGCAAATAATTATGTCGTCTACATATCGATAGTAATATAAGATATTTTGATTGACAACTATATGTTGTTTTTTGAAATTATCCATGAAAATGTCCGCCATAAGAGGACTTAGAGGGACTTATTTTTGTAGTTAGAAACGGTTATTAAACTGGAAATAGTTTTGTTTCATACAGAGAGAGGTTAAGTTAAGAAGATCATTTGTTTCCCCGGGATGTAGACGACGTTTATCAAAGAGATCTGCGAGTATACGCAAACAGTCAGGGGATGGGACATTTGTGAAAAGACTATCAACGTCTAAAGATAACAATATGGATTTAGGAGGAATACGAATATCCTTAATTTTGGAAATGAGATCTAAGCCATTTTTAAGCTGTAAGTGTGGTTGAATCTAGATATCTCTTGAATCTTCAGGTGACTTCATTCCACCCTTAACGCTGTCCATTACAATCTAGAGACGACGAAGCCAGCCTTGCTCTTTTTAACCGAGACTCAGGTGTCCTCTCCGGCTGATATTTTATATCTCTCCTACCCAGGATAAAATTTGAACACTCCTTGGTGCCCCGGGCTGGAGTTTGCGTATACGTTAGAGAGAACAAATGTTTTCGACGCCTTGGTAGTCTTGAAGGTACAGACCTGTCCATCCTATGGCTGCGCGTAGACAGCGACGACCATCCCTGCGTCTACGGGTGCCTCTATAGGTTCCATAGTGGTAATGCCGACACAGACCGACTCATCGACAACGTCCAAGTGGCTGCAGACTCCGTGCTACAACAGGTCTGCAGAGATCGTGACACTCGGTGATTTTAACGCCCACCACGCTGAATGGTTTGCCTCCCGTTTAACCGATCATACAGGTAGATCTGTGTATGACTTTGCCTTGGCATATGGTCTAACACAACTGCTTACATCGCCTACGCGGATCCCAGATGAGGAGGATCATGTAAGGTACATGATCCTCCTCATCTGGGACCCTGTTGGACCTTCTGCTGACCTCTCATCCGGACGGATATCAGATCTCCGTCGATGCCCCCCTGGGCTCTACGGACCATTGTCTGATCCGAAGTATGGTGCCAGTCACGCTCCCATCGCAGTTGCGATGTGCAGCTTGCCGCCGTGTTTGGCACTATAGGTCGGCCGATTGGGACGGGATGCGGTCTTTTTTTGCATCCTACTCTTGGGGGCGGATTTGCTTCTCGCCGGAAGATCCCAGCGTTGCTGCCGATTTTGTTGCTGATGTGGTACTTCAGGGTATGGAACTTTTTATTTATATTGAATAAAACTATTTTTTACGGATTTTATCGAGTTTAATTTTACTATTTTAATTCCCGACGTTTCGGTTGCTTAACAGCAACCTATGGTCACGGGGGGACTGAGATGTTTGACGTCCCGATGTTACAGTTAGCTCAGCTACCTTCAGTTTTTGAATATTAATTTTAGGTTCGATGTACGCAGAATAAGCTTACAGTATCATGAAGTCTTGCAGTGGTAGGCTTGGATTTGGATTTAATTTTGTTAATTATTTTATTTTTATCTTTATTTATTCACAAAATCCACAGTTTGTAACAATCAATTACACTCAAAACTTATAAACTAGATCTTGAAACCAATTACGGATTTACAATATACTTATTAAGCTAATAAAACGTCACAAAATATTCAACACCTTACTTAAAAATAGAAGTAAGAAATATAAAAATATTTAAAGGTAAACAAAGCGCTCGAAATTTGTTTAAGTGCCGAAGAGTGTGTATGTTTGTGTGTGTGTGTGTGTGTGTGTGTGTGCGTGCCAGCGCGCGCGCGCGTGTGTGTGTGTGTGTGTGTGTGTGCGTGCGTGTTTGTGTGTGCGCGTGTGTGTGTGTGTGTGTGTGTGTGTGTGTGCATGTGTGTGTGAACGTGATACAAAGTTTAATTAAGTAACGATATTTTAAAATAAATAGATAAATTTAATAAATATAAACATGTTGTATGTAAATTATAGTGTATATTTATGTATCTAATTAATACCTGCTATAAAATCTTTCTTGTATTTATTTACTTTATTTACTATTTACTGATATTTAGTAATCGATTAGTTTATAATTTGACATATTCTTACAAAGTACCATGGCAACTTCACGTTTAAATGAAGTTTTACTAGAGTGAAAGATATCAATTGTATTAAATGTTTTATTATAAATTCTGTGAAGCCTATTAACAATCGAATTTTGAGCATAGTTAGTTCTTTTAAGGGCAGTAGCAAAAAGTTTCGTATGTCTTTTTCGTGTATTTGGAACACAAAAACTTAAAATTTGCAACGCTAATTTACAATAGTCTATGTAGTTATCACATATGCCATGTAGAAAGGACATATCAATTAAGGTTCGTCTACTTTGAAGAGGCATACAATTGTAGTGGAGATTAGACTCACTAACATCTGAAAAGCGGCGAGAAAATCGAAAGTGTAGGTGCTTTTAAAAATTTTACTTAATATTCTCCAGCTTTTGAATATACGTCACATATTGAGGATTCCATATTATGCTACCATACTCCAGAATACTTCTGACATATGCAAATATAGTACTCTTAAACATCTAATGTCTGAAAAGGGCTTACTGACTCGTAAAACAAAACCTATTTTTTTGTATACTTTCGCCACTATTGTATCGATATGTTCGGAATATGTTAATTTTGAATCCATTTTTACCCCTAGGTCAAGTACACTATTCAACTCAGATAAAGTAAAATTATTTATTTTATAATTGTATTTATTGGATTAGTTTTTGTAGTGAATGATACAAAACAACATTTCTTTAAATTAATACCAATACGATTTTCAATATAATAAGAGATTAATCTATCTAGATCGGATTGAAGGTTAATACAATCAGTAATCCCATTAATTTTCATAAAGATTTTTGTATCATCAGCATACATTAAAAATGTTGCATGCTTAAAGCATCTACTCACATCATATTAGTACGTGGCATATAACAATGGACCCAGGATGGAACCCTGCGGTACGCCAGATGGTACCTTTAAAAAGTCGGAGCGTGAACTACCTACCACTACAGCTTGAGAACGATTGCGCAGATATGGCTAGAACCATCTCAACAAATTACCGTGGATACCCATTTCAGCTAGTTTACGCAGAAGGATACTGTAGTCAACACGGTCAAATGCCTTCTCAAAATCCGTATATATTACATCTACTTGTGACCCACCATCTATACTGTTAGATACGTAGTCTACAAAAACTCCTAGGTTAGTAGCAGTTGACCGGCCCTTTATAAATCCATGTTGTTCAGAGGGAATTGAAGTGGCAATTATTGGATATATGTGGGAGAAAGTTTATTTTTAATCTGTGTTTATGTATTTTTTGAAGTCATGTCATGACAGGGGGAGAGAGTCTGTGGTTAGGAGGAAAAACATTGTAAAAGAGCTAAGCAGTTTTATTAAAGATTTTGTGTTTAATTCGACCATTCTTTTCTTCGACGATCCCACAACTATTTTGGGGGCTCGTCCGGGATCCAGAGAAGTATCAGTGTGGAAGAATTAACAACATTTACGAAGAAATCATCAGCAAAATACCGGCGAGTTATTGTGAGAAGTGAACTGTTTTACCAACGCTAACCAAGATGGCGCGCGGGAAGTTTTGAAAACGAGTTGCATCGAATGCTTCGGGACGTTGTTACCATCGCACTACATTACCGACTACGCGTGAGCGTAATGCTGCGGGACGTTGTTCGTGACGTCAATATATTTTTTATTTTTTACGAAATGTAAAGAAGATAAATATGAGTTTCACGACTGGATTTACGATTTACGGATTTTACGATTGAAGATTATTGTTACAAAAATAATGATTTAAAGAAGATTTTACGACTATTGAAGACTTGTGAAGATTTTTATATTTGAAGAATAACATTTCAAGATGCCGCCGAAAAAAGATATTAAAGATGGAGAAGAACGAGAATCACGTGACACCACATCCTATATCTCGTTTGCAGATGTGGAGAAGTCGATGACGTCATTTAGTGGTGATGATTCTTACCCGATTTCAACATGGTTTGAAGAATTTGAAGACACGGCACTGTTGATGAGCTGGACTGAAGTGGAAAAACTGATTTACGCGAAAAGACTCCTAAGTGGAACTGCAAAACTATTTCTACGATCGCTCGGAGGTGTAAAAGATTATAAAAAATTAAAACAAGAACTCGAAGATGAATTTGGATCTAAATTGAATAGTGCCGCCATACATAAAAAACTAAGCTCAAGAAAAATGAAGAAAGATGAAACTTACCAGCAGTATTTTCTCCATATGAAAGAATGTGCATTACATGGAAACATCGAAGATGCAGCACTTATGGAGTACGTTGTTGATGGTATCCAAGACAGCGAATCTAATAAATCTATTTTGTACGGAGCGTCAAACCTTAAAGAATTTAGAAAGAAATTAGATATTTACAAAAGTATTAAAGAAAAGACCCAGACTCGACCCAGTGTATCTACTCCATTTGCAAAGAATAATAAAATAAAGCGATGTTTTAATTGCGGGGACCTAGATCATCAAGCCCCGACCTGCACGAAGGGTATTAAGTGCTTCCGATGCAATGAATTTGGACATAAGGGAACTCAGTGTAATAACAAAGGTAAAAAGACTTTAAATATTCAAAAGACTGACACGAAAATTAAGACTGATAAAGAAGACAAAGAATTAGAAACTCCATATAAGAAGATAAAGATAAATGATGTCGAAGTTACAGCATTAATTGACACTGGGAGTGACGTGAATTTGATAAAGTTATCTGAAGTTAAAAAATTTATGACAGAAAAAGTTATCTATGACAAAGAAAAATCAATACACCTAACTGGAATTGCTGGAAAAGAACTAAATACTAAAGGACTTCTGAAAGTTAAGGTTTTGATTGATGATTATTATGCTGACTTGGAATTTCACGTAGTACAAGATTATGCTATACCAGTCAGTGTCATACTTGGAAATCCTATCCTCAAAGATTTTGAAATCAATTTTACTCGTGATGGTATTTTCCTTGAAAAGATTTCTTACCTTACACTACTGGCAGAAGAGAAGAAAACTATTTGTGATGAACATTACCCTGAAAATAAAGAAATTGCAGATAAGGTTACAAAACTAATTAAAGAATATAAAACTAATGCTAACAAGAAGGAAAGTAACGTTGAGATGAAGATAATACTTACCGAAGAAGACCCGATATATCAAAGTCCACGTCGATTGTCACCACTGGAAATGAAAGTTGTTGATGAACAAATAAAAGAGACCAAAAGATTATACGACCCAGCAAATCAGATTTTGCAAGCCCTGTAGTTCTAGCTAAAAAGAAAGATGGAACATACAGACTTTGTATAGATTATAGAAAGTTGAATAAAAGAATAGTGAAAGACCGATTCCCATTACCTCTTATAGAAGATCAGATTGACAGATTGAAGGGTGCAAAAGTTTTCACGACTTTGGATTTGAAGAACGGATTTATGCATGTGAATGTGCATGAAGAAAGCAGGAAGTTTACGGCCTTTGTAACTCCGCAAGGGCAGTATGAATTCATGAAAATGCCGTTCGGTCTTTGCACGGCGCCGTCAGTATTCCAAAGATATGTCAACCATGTCTTTCAAGATCTTATTTCTGACGGTACTATCCTTGCCTACTTGGATGATTTGATTTTACCCTCGGAGTCAGAAGAAGAAGGATTGGAGAAGCTGGTAAAAGTGTTCCAAAGAGCTGAAGAGTACGGTCTTTTATTTAACTGTAAGAAATGCCACTTCATGAAGAGGGAGATAGAATATTTAGGCTATATAATACGGAATAATGAATTACGCCCGTCAAAAAAAAAGATTTCAGCCGTATCTAGATTTAAAACCCCTCATAACATCAAGTCTTTACAGTCTTTTTTAGGACTGTCTGGTTATTTTAGAAAGTTCATCAAAAATTATTCTATAATTGCAAAACCACTTACCAATTTATTGAAGAAAGACGTTGAATTCAATTTTGATGAAGAGTGCGAAATGGCTTTCAATGAATTGAAAAGAATATTGTGTAGTTCACCTGTGTTACGGATTTACGATCCAGACCTAACAACAGAACTACACACAGATGCTAGCGCGGAAGGTTATGGCGCCGTTCTGTTACAGAAAAGTCCTACAGATAATCAAATGCATCCAGTCTACTACATGAGCAAAAAAACGACACCCGCTGAAAGAAAGTATCACAGCTATTACTTGGAAATACTGGCGATTGTTGAAGCTGTCAAGAAATTCCGTGTCTATCTACTAGGAATTCGTTTTAAAATCGTAACAGATTGCTCTGCTCTTACTAAAACATTACAGAAGAAAGACTTACCTCCACGTGTTGCTCGATGGGCTCTGCTCCTAGAAGAGTATAATTATGAGATAGAACACAGGTCAGGATCAAGACTTAAACATGCTGACGCACTAAGCCGAAACCCTGTCTGCTTGATACTTACCGAAGCTGCTGCCCGTTTGAAGAGAGCTCAAGACGACGACCCTCATATCAGTCTGTTAAAGAAAATGTTAGAAAAAGAACCCTATCAAGACTATATTATGGAAAGAGGAATATTATGCAAAGAGAAAGATGGTACGAGACTGATTGTAGTTCCAAAGAAAATGCAGAACGAAATAATAAGGAAGAAGCATGATTATGGACATTTTGGAGTTAGAAAAACAGAAGCGCTTGTGAGTCGAGAGTATTATGTTGAGAATCTGAAGGAGAAGATTAGAAAAGTTATAGATAATTGTGTAGAATGTATTTTGATTGAACAGAAAAAGGGAAAGAAAGAAGGATTCTTACATCCACTAGACAAAGGTGATGTCCCGTTGTCGACGTATCATATTGATCATCTTGGTCCATTGACGTCTACTAATAAAAATTATAAGTACATTTTTACGGTAGTTGATGGCTTTACCAAATTTACTTGGATCTATCCTACAAAATCTTTGTCCACAGATGAAACGTTGGACAAACTGAGAGTGCAACAACAAACCTTTGGTTCCCCTCAAAGGATTATTTCCGATCGTAACGCCGCATTTACTTCAAAAGACTTTCAAGACTATTGTGAACAAGAAGGCATAACTCATTATACAATTACTACAGGACAACCCCGCGGAAACGGGCAAGTAGAAAGAATCCACCAAATCATAATAAGTGTTATAAGTAAATTGAGCGCTGATGATCCGACGAAGTGGTATAAACAAGTTTCCAAAGTGCAACGCTGTCTGAATAGTACATGGCAAAGAAGTATTGGAATGACTCCATTCGAGTTACTTTTTGGAACCAAAATGAAAGATAAGAATGAAAAAATTATAGAATTAATAGAAGAAGAAGAAGTTAAGAACTATAATAAGCAAAGGAATGAACTAAGATTAAAGGCAAAAGAGTCAATACAAAAGATGCAAGAAGAGAATGTTAAAAATTATAATAGAAAAAGAAAAAAGGCTACCGAATACAAAGTTGATGATTTAGTTGCTATTAAACGAACACAATTTACTCAAGGAAGTAAATTGTATCCTAAGTATCTAGGACCTTACGCAGTGACAGCCAAAAAGCATCATGAAAGGTACGCTGTAAGAAAAGTTGGTGAATGCGAAGGGCCCATCAACACAACAACCTCGGCTGATCTCATGAAGCCATGGGTCGATGAAGACGTAGATGAATATTCATCTGAGTCAGATGAATGATCAGGACGGCCGTGTGGGAGAAAGTTTATTTTTAATCTGTGTTTATGAATTTTTTGAAGTCATATCATGACAGGGGGAGAGAGTCTGTGGTTAGGAGGAAAAACATTGTAAAAGAGCTAAGCAGTTTTATTAAAGATTTTGTGTTTAATTCGACCATTCTTTTCTTCGACGATCCCACATATATATGAGCATGGACTACTCTTTCACATAGTTTACTAAGTACGTTCAGGATCGAAATGGGGCGGTAGTTCTCAATTGTTGATTTAAGACCTTTTTTATGAATTGTTATAATATGGGCTGTTTTCCAAATTTGAGGAAGGTAGCCTTCCTAAAAACATCGATTGAAAATAAGTGAGATAGGAAGAGATACAGCATCAGCACACTTGGTGAAAAATATTGTTGGAATATTATCGCTACCCGCACCTTTCGATATGTCGAGATTTTTAATTAGCTTTAAAATATACTCTTTGGTAATTTTAATGTCATGTATAGTAGCAATTTGCAATTGATTATTATGAGTATTTTGTAAATATAGATCAGAGGGTTTATTAAATTTTCTCTCAAAGAACTTATTAAAAGCAGAACAAATGTCTAAATTGTTACTGATAACTAAATTATTCTATGTCATCTGTTAAGGATAATTACAAATATTTTTTCTCTTAGATTTTACATAGGACCAGAAGTATTTAGGGTTATTTTTAATTTTTTGTTGTGAAAATTTTATGTAAGAATTATAACAGTCGCACTGCATTTCTTTTTGTCTACTTCTTAGGTCTGAAAATTGAGCATAGTCGTTTGGGTTTTTGTATTTTCTGCCGACTTCCAAAAAGGAGCCGGTACTCAATTCGACTGTATGTTTTTTTTTTTCGTTTTTTTTTTATGTGTGTTACCTCAGAACTTTTTTCTGGGTGAACCGATTTCGATGATTCTTTTTTTATTTGAAAGCTGGTACTTCTCGTGTGGTCCCATATGAATTTGATCAAGGTCAGACCAATGGTTTTTAAGTTATTCTTAAATAACTTATATTGAAGTCGGCTGTACAAAATTTTTAATTTTAAATTATTTCAAGTGTTTATGAACTTTAAACTTTTCTTTAATTAAATTTATTAACGGCCTGCTATACCCAATCGGATAAGTGTGCATACCAGAGTGGTGAACCTGAGGAACATATGTTTCTATGCAGTTAATTATAATTGCATAAAACCATCTATTATAGTCTCAATATTTGTGTTATTGTCTAATATAAACGACCAATCCTGTTGATTTAACGTTTCATTAATGATATTAAAGTCAGCACGCTCATAAATATACTTTGATCGCGATTGTGCTTTCAAGCATTCTATGCAATGGTTTTTAAGAAATATTTTACTGATATTCCGATCTTGACCACTAAGTCACTGAATTCTTCTCCTGCCGTCGCCGAATCATTACTTAAACAAAATGTAAATGTGTGTACAAAGAATTTTACATTTCATAAAGTGTCAGGGGGTGCTAAGAATCTCCGGTGGAGGTTCGGTTGCCACCTACGACGACTCGACCTGGCAACATACAACGCACGCACCCTGAGGACTGACGAGAAGATTGTGGAGCTGGAAGAAGAGATAGACAAGTTACGCTGGCATATTATAGGATTATCCGAAGTCCGAAGAGAGGGGGAGGACACGGTAATCCTCGAATCCGGCAACTTGCTCTATTACCGGGAGGGCGACCATCTGTCCCAAGGAGGTGTCGGATTTATCGTCCACAAGTCTCTCGTTAACAACGTTGTAAAGATTGAGAGTGTGTCGACGAGGGTTGCGTACCTTATACTCAGAATCACCAAACGGTATTCGCTGAAGGTCATACAGGTTTACGCACCAACCTCGGCACACCCCGATCAGGAGGTGGAGGAAATGTATGAGGATATCTCTAGAGCCATGCATTCCTCCAAAACCCAATATACGGTGTTAATGGGAGACTTCAATGCAAAACTAGGCACAAGAGAGAACGGTGAGCTGAAAGTAGGGAAATTTGGAATAGGGCAACGGAACCCAAGGGGCCAGCAGCTGGCCGACTTCATGGAGAAAGAGGGACTCTTTATGATGAACTCTTTCTTCCAGAAGCGGCCCCACAGGACGTGGACCTGGTCGAGCCCCGACGGTTCGACAAAAAATGAGATTGACTTCATTATGACGACCAGACGACAACTGTTCAGTGATGTCTCAGTGATCGCGAGGGTGAAAACCGGCAGCGATCACCGAATGGTTAGAGGCACACTGAACCTAAACGTTAAGTTGGAGAGGTCTCGTCTAATGAAGTCAACGCTCCGTCCCCCTCGTACTCTAATCCAAAGTCCCGAAACCTTTCAGCTCGAGTTACAAAACCGTTTTCAGTGCCTAGAAGACTGCAATGAAGTGGACGATTTGAATGACAAGCTCGTGGAAACTGTCCATGCGGTCGGAGCTAAGTTCTGCAAGACCCGCCGCAGAAGAACACAAAAACTCTCCGATCACACTCTTAATCTCATGGCTGTTAGACGGGAGATGAAGCTACATTCTTCAACAGATTTAACAGCATACAGGCAACTGAACAGACAGATCTCCAAATGCATGCGGCGGGACTTACGCAAATTCAGTA